AAAGTATTATGTTTCAACAACAAATGCCAACAGAAATATTTTACATGAAAGATTTTCAGGTTTTACAAAACATGTCAGCTGTTAACGTCAAGGTTTATTCAAAAAATAAAATAAACCAGTAATTGTCAAGAACATCTGCTGTTTTTGTGAACAGGTTGACTTACAAGATGGTCAGCTACATTGAAAGGTATTCTGGTATATAAAGTTAAAAGTAACCTCATCATAATTTGTAGATGTCTCATATTGGCAAGTGTTTGCAGCCAAGAAAGAGGAGGAAAGAAGACATTATTTGAGAGGCTGAAGTTTGTGTAATTTGCCACACAAATCACCAAAGGAAGGAAACAAGAAAGCATTTCTTGGCTCCTGATTGTAGTTGATTAAGTAAAAATCGAATCTCAAATCAGCAAGGATTATAAGTCGGATCATTTTATTTTAATTAGCAATGTGGAATTGATTTAGAAGAGTTTAACAAATAATGCACAATTAGGCAAAGTAAGCACCTTGATTGTTCATCTGTCTAAGAATTGTGAAGAATATATAGAATATTGTTAGTCAACCTTCTTTTTATGTGTTTAAGTATTATTGTGAGAGTCAAAATTTAGTTAATTTTTAAATAAATTTATTTTGTACCTACAAAATTGAAATAATATAGAGACCGTGGGAATTTGTCTTAATATAAACATTCTCACGAGGAATCCATGCATAGTTTACACTTACAGGCAAAATTAGTCATATTGTTGCCATTCTATCACCACCTTTAACCCCAAACCTGCTAAAACAATTGATCATCTGACTAATTTTCCCACCACAAAAAGTATAAAAGCCATCCTTCTTCCCCTCTCGGAGGAATTGCCAAATGTCGAAGTCGGACATTGCCTTCCCCATCACAGACCTCACTTGTGTCACTGCTCAGAATCCATTTGGACGACATCACGGGAAAATATCCCACTAGTATATGCAAAGAGGTATGAACGCATATTTGTAAACTCTCTCTCTCCACTATCCGTGTAGTAGCAGGATAGGTTGATATAATGGAACTTAGAGTAATTACATTTGTAAATTTTTCCATAGATGATTGTAATAAACTCTTGTTTTGTTTTTAAATGGTGTCTTTACTCGACATAGCCGTCTTATCGTCGACCCCTCCGACTCTCCTCCACTCGCATAACGTATAACTGAACAAAACGCCATGCTTGACAAGAAAGTCGGTCACCGACCTGTGGCCGGAAGGAGAGGACTTCCCAACCTCCCCGGCGGCTCACATTATTTTCAAATTATTGTACATTTATTTTAAAAGTTAACATTTCCATGTTCCATCATACAGTTTGATACCTTAAGATGGTCTGTCAAAAAATTTGAAGATGTTTGATCTATTTCTTTATGGGGTTATTTTGGTGATAATGTTTTGTCTAAATTATTTATGGTGTTATTTCTTTTATAATTTAAATATAAAATAAAAATTGAAATGAATAACACAGAAGATAATTATTTTTCTCAAAAACAAATTTTAGTACAAGAATTTAAGAATAATGAATAAAAATAAAGCATAAAATTCATTTAAATTTGCATTATGAGAGTATTTTAGGGTTTTAAGGAAATGTTAGAAATGAATAAAATCCCTATTTTTGATGCATAAAAACATTTCATAATTTTATACTATATTTTTGCAGCAGTTTTTCATACATTAGAAATCTGAAGATTAAATCGATGAAATAAAATAATTTCATAAGAAAATTAAAATTTGAAATTTGAATGAATTATACATAGTCCAGTCACATTAATGTAACCACTCCTTACTGTCGATATCAATGTGAAATAACTAATCACAGGTGGCAGGTAGCAACACATTGCAGTTAAGGGTATATAAAGGGTATCTGAGGTAAGCGAAACACATTGCAATCGTTGGCATAATGGATGTATGACGCAATTTATCCGACGTCCAAAAGGGCATGATCATTGGCTTTCGGCCAAGAGTGGAAGCATTTCTGAAACTGCTAATTTTGTAAACTGTTTGCATGTCGCCATGGTTAAAGTATAAAATTTGGATAGTGCCCAAAATGGCACTATCCAAAATCAGCGACGTGGCAAATGTGGTGCACCACAGGCCAAAGACGACAGAGGTGAACGACAGCTGTGGAGATACGTTCAAGCAAACAGACGTGCAACCATTGACCAACTGACCGCCCAGATGNCATAATGGATGTAAGACGCAATTTATCTGATGTCCAAAAGGGCATGATCATTGGTTTCTGGGCCAAGGGTGGAAGCATTTTCGAAACAGCTAATTTTGTAAACTGTTTGTTTGTCACTGTGGTAAAAGTATATTGTGCATTGCAAAATGGCACTATCCAAAATCAGCAACATGGCAAATGTGGTGCACCACAGGCCAAAGACGACAGAGGTGAACGACAGCTGTGGAGATACGTTCAAGCAAACAGACGTGCAACCATTGACCAACTGACCGCCCAGATGAACCAATGAGCTACCAAAAGTGTATCCTCAACGACAGTTCAGCGAATGTTGCTTCATATGGGCCTTTGCAGCAGATGCCTGGTTAAAGCACCTATGCTGACTCCTGTTCATCAGCAACGAAGGCTGAAATTTGCACACCAGTATAGCAACTGGACGTCCACTGAGTGGCGACAGGTGGCTTTTTCCGATGAATCACGTTTTGTGCTCTATCAGACAGATGGACGTTGGCATATACAGCGTGAGGCATCTGAAAGCAAACACCCTACAATTGCTGCAAGGGTCCAAGCTGGAGGAGGGAGCATTATGGTCTGGGGAATGTTTTCGTGGCATTCTCCAGGTGCACTCATCATTGTGGAAGGCATGATTGATCAACAGAAGTATGCATCTGTCCTTGTGGACCATTCTGGCTTTTGACAGGTGGTCACATTAATGTGACTGGACTGTGTATATTAGAATTTGTTCTACTTATCCTCAGTTTGCTTAATGCATCTTTTTAATATTAGTGAAATTTGAATAATGCAAATGTTTTTCACTTGGTTAGCAGGCCTTCCTGATGCATAGGCAGTGGAAGGTGGAATGCCTGAGAATAGCTAAAGGCATTTCAGCCAGGTCAAAACCATTTTGCATTATTCAAATTACAATTGTTGGGCTGCAATTTGAAAAAATTGTAGACCTATAAATTCCCACTGTCATTCATCCATCTGCATGTCTGTCTTTCCTTAATCTCAAGAACAGAATTAGATAGATGAAAGAAAAGACCAAATAGGGAAACCTTTGGGCAGGAGGCTTCGATTAACTGTAAATGAACTTCCAATACAAACCGGAAGTTGTGATATTTCAATTAAGAAATTTTTCCCTGAAAGAAGTTACATAGATAACTAGCACAACTTTATTGCTAGCAGGAAAAATATGATGTACAGGAGTAAGCCACTACTAATTTGAGATGGAGAGCATATAATTTAAATTAAATAAATTAAGAATATGATTAAAAATTGCAGCCCAGCATTGTGACAATGTCACAATAAATGATTGCTTGTTAAAAAGTGCATTAATTAAGTTGAGTAACCATAGTGGCTAGATCATCCATACTATTTATCCTCATTAATGATTTGTAACAGTATATATTTGTGGCCTTTTTTGCAAAAATAACACATGCCAAAATTGGTCAAAAATGGGTTTTTCATTGCATCTGGCAACCCTAATGGTGGGTAACTTACCCATAAAGTATTATGTTTCAACAACAAATGCCAACAGAAATATTTTACATGAAAGATTTTCAGGTTTTACAAAACATGTCAGCTGTTAACGTCAAGGTTTATTCAAAAAATAAAATAAACCAGTAATTGTCAAGAACATCTGCTGTTTTTGTGAACAGGTTGACTTACAAGATGGTCAACTACATTGAAAGGTATTCTGGTATATAAAGTTAAAAGTAAAGTTAAAAGTAACCTCATCATAATTTGTAGATGTCTCATATTGGCAAGTGTTTGCAGCCAAGAAAGAGGAGGAAAGAAGACATTATTTGAGAGGCTGAAGTTTGTGTAATTTGCCACACAAATCACCAAAGGAAGGAAACAAGAAAGCATTTCTTGGCTCCTGATTGTAGTTGATTAAGTAAAAATCGAATCTCAAATCAGCAAGGATTATAAGTCGGTGAAGATCAAGAGACTATTCAAATTTGTGACACACATTCTGGGTCATACGAAAATATTCTAATTAGAAGCATCTGGAAGTGGATCAATGAGTTGACCCTGCCATAACCCTATAAAGATCCAGTGTCTATATGAGACAAGAAACTTGTGGATTTCCTGAAGCTGTCAACTTTCCTATAGAAGACAGAAAATAATAAGTTCTATGAAAATCTGTCAAGTATTACAGGTAATAAAAAATATGTGGACATTGAAGAGGAAGACAACAGCAGTGGCTGAAAGGACTCAGAAATGACACATGCAAACTTTTTCATGTAAAAAACTGTGAGAATAAAGTTTGAGAAAAACAGCATATGTCAGTTACCAAAAATTAATTCTTGGATCTTGTTAAAGTTAATATTCCAGAAATACACCAAAACCCTAAGATTTGCTCCTACTTGTTTTGGCAAGTAGGAGCAAAAGATGTTCATGTGCAATGCAATTTAATAGAAATGTTATTTTTCCTCAGCAGTATGTATTTTGACATGCAAAAAAGGCTTCATTTAAAGACATAAATATAGATGATTATATTGTATTTTTATCTGATTTTATTGCATTACTGAAAATATTCTCAGTGTAATATGAATAATGCTACATAATTTTCTACATCCATTTTATAGATGTAATTTAAGTAAATCATAATTTTTCAAATATCTGCTTGCAAATCAAAATATAACAGTTTGAATGATTTATAATGAATGGTTACTGGATTGATCATGTTTTTATCAATAACAAAGACTTTATTTATGCTTAAAAATGATATTTTTAGCACAGTTATTATGATTGTTTAAATAAAATATAATTTTTAATAATTTAATCTTATAATAATAAAAAAATATTAAAACTAACAATAATATGTGAATAAGAAAATTTTAGAGGATTGAAATTTATTCAAAGCACTTTCATGTAGTTTTTTATTTATATATACTTTTTGGATATTGGTTGTACAGGTAGTGCTGATCCAAATTTATTTATACCTTTTTATAATAAATTTTATCTTGGCAGGGTTACAAATGTTACATTGTTTGAAGGCAAATGATCCTAAGGAAAATGGAACAGGTGTAGGTGGAAAGTCTTTCTTTGTTGATGGTTTTTATATTGCCAATTGGTTAAGAGATGTTCATCCTGCTGCTTTTCATATACTTTCTTCAACACCTGTTAAATTTGCCATAAAAAGTCATTCTGTGAGTATTATTGTGTGCATTTTAGAAAATATTTATCTAATTTAAATTCAATTTTATTTACATGAATTAACAGAAACATGAATATATAAAATGCCATCTAGGCCAAATATGCACAAAATGGTTTTATGATACACAAATTTTTTTTTCTTCAATTTATTGGCTACAACTTACTTGAGAAAGCATCATCATGGAACATTTTTCTTGATAGTGCTTTTCCAGAAAGTTCACATTTAACCAAATATTAAAGCCAATTGCTTTGCAATTAATTAATTCTGTCATTCTGTGCAGTATTGCATTATTTATTGATAACATTCAATTCATAAATGCCACTTTAATTTCAACAAACAACTCCAAAGCTTAAAGACAATCAGTTAGTCAATAAAATTTATTAACTGATATTTAACTGATTTCTTTTTCTCAAGCAATTAAATTTCCTCAATGAGATAATAGGAAAATTTTTCAGTGTAAAAGATAAATTGGTTGTCCTTTAAAATATAGGTATGAAAAAGATATTTTTTAACTTTTTTAAATATGAAGTAGTTCAAAACTTTTTTTTTTTTTTTGACTCCTAAATGTATGAAATATGATTTTATTTCTATTATATGTTACTTTAATAGTCATTGAGTGTTATATTCATTTATACTCAAACATATTTTATACAAAACTAAATTTTCATTATAATGAGGTTAATATTGTAGTTTAGTTTTCTCAAAATGACTCAAATCTAAGTGAATTGACTTTTCGCATTCAACAATTTATAACTTTAATGAAAAAAAATCAAGAGCTGCATTAATCTATATGAATTTTGCAAAATAATACTATATTCTACATTAAAATGTTTAATAAAAATAAATGGCATAGTACAATTATGGAAAAAATTTTTAAGAGTAATTTTTAACATTTGGATAATCAATTTATATTTATATTTCATTTTTCAACCAGTAAAGACTGACTTGAGTGAAATAAATTTTTGAAATAATTTCGGCTTAAATCAAGTTTTGTGAATAGAAAGAATAAATTAGAAATCTAATAAATTTGTTACATAGAAAAAATAGCCTTGCATTATAGCAAAAATAAATAATAAAGTAGAGGAAATGTAATTATTATAATAGTGATGTTTTATATTACTTTCATAAAATAAGAATTTTAAAATTTTGTAATGATTTTAGTTAATAGCATTAACATGAAGCATATTCTAAAGTTGGAAGATAAAATCCTTCATCTCTACTCTAGGGCAGTGATTCTCAACCTTTTTTGTCACAGTACACTTTTAATAATTTAAAAATTTGGCGGCACACACGGTTACTTTGGTAAGTACCGCAGGACAACCGGTGACGTCATAACACAGTTGATTTTTAAACACAGTTGTTTAGAAAATGTGACCTAAATAACCATTTTAGTAACTACTGGCAGTTACAGGTAACACTGGTTACAATTTCCAAACGTGCCCTAGAAAGGTAGAACCAATTAAACTACTTGTCTGACGTCGCTTATGTATGGATATTTGCAGTGGTGGCACACTTCAAAAATCTCACAGCACACTGGTTGAGAATCACTGCTCTAGGGTTTGAAATTTAAGTTGGTGGGTGTTTGTGCAAATTATGAAAATGTTTGGGGGTTTTTGAGCACATTGCTGGCAGAAGGAAGTTGGTTGCATTGATTAAATTTAATTGATAATAGTTTATCTGTCTGTGGCATGGGTATTTGTATTGAAAGCCAGTAACGATTGTCTGCTCAGTGTCTTAAGTTGAAGTGTTGAACAGATGCTAGAAAAGTCTAGAACAGATATGGCAAAACTTCTTGATCCTGCATGCCATATAACAAGCATTCCTAGCTTTAAAGATGTTTATGATGCTAAAGTTTTAGACTTTGAATAACGATATCGTTATTTGAAGTCTGAAACTTTGGCAAATTAAATGAATATGCTTTAATTCGAATAAATGTACAAAAGCTGATTGAAAAAGGATGATTAGGTGATAAACTGATAGGATGATTGAAAAAGATAGAAGGTAAATTGAAATCATATGATACATTATGTGCCAGATGATTTCTCCTTACGTGCCACTTTGGGCACATGTACCATAGGTTCTCCACCCCTGATCTAGAACATCAAACTGTATATTGTGTGTTGTGAACATTTTGTCCGTGTTAGATTCCTTTACGAATTAATTCCAGGACCACACATTACAATATAGTCTATTGTATATATTTGAAATTAAACTGCCAACAAATTTTTGTTAGAATTTGTTAGAAATTTTTTTGTTAGAATTTAGAAACTGTATTTATGACTTTTAAGGAGACTGAGAGACTTTTTGAATGCCTTTTTCAAATTTCTCAATAATTTAATATATTAAAGTCTTAAAAATTAAATATTTATTGCTTATTAAAATCATTTTAGATGAACTATAGCCAGACAATACCTGTCATATGCGTTGACAATGATGGAGAAGTTCAAGAAATTCATTATAACAACCGAACCATGGCACCTTTACAAATACCATCTCATTTGGTCATGCCCTTCTATCATGCTTATCAGTATGCTGTTTTTTTAATGTAACAGAAGATTACCTTTTGGTATTCATAAAACTAACTATTGATTGTTATTTAGATTGATGGCAAATAAAATGCGTGAAGAGAGTTGCCAGTTATCGTTTCACATGGTTCCTGGAGATCTGGTTGCATTTAATAATAGACGTGTCCTACATGGTCGTACCAGTTTCGATCCAACAAAAGTTACAAGGTATTTATAGAAATTTATCTGAAAATTTTGAAAAATCATTATTTGTTCTAATTATTCCAAATGTATATAATATATATATATATTATTATAGGCATCTTCAGGGATGTTACGTGGATATTGATGAAGTTTTTACTCGTTATAAAGCCATGATATCTGAATAAGGCACTACTTACAGTATAACTGCATTAAATGTACATATTTTGTCAAAAAATTTGTTTTCTTGTAAAAAACTTAAATAATTATCTTATCATATTGGATCTGTTTAAAAATGTTTCAAATTATTAAATCTTAAACTGTAATTAGAAATGAATGTATTATTAATTCAAAATGGATAAACCAAATTTTAGACTGTATCAGTCTTAATATTAATTATTTTTAATCTCTTAATATAATATATAATTACATAATATCAAATGAAGATGATGATGATGATTGTAAACTTTTACCATTTATTTCTTGTTTCTTTTAATTGTATGACGTTCTTAAGGAAAATGAGTAATTTTGTTTTGTTTTTATGGCTGTAATATGTCTTTGATTTTTGATCCAAATGTTGAAAATAAATATACAAAATAAAAAGGATAATTTCATTGTAAGTGCACTGTCTTCATTATAAATTTGTGAAATTACAGATTCATTTTAAATATCATATTTGTATATTTTACAATATACATAATTACTAATTACGAAATCTTAATGTTTTTATTAAATTTTATGTTAAATTCTGTTTATTTGATGATTGTAATGTGGAACACTTAAAACAATGCAATTTTTCTTTTACATAAATTTACTAATGAATTTGAATTGATTTGTGCGATTTTATTTTTACAAACTTTATATTAAAATAAATATATTATAAAAAATCTAAATAATTCTTGTAGCACTATATTAACAAATACGTTCTCTGATTATTTTTAAATACAGTAGATCACCCTATAATACAGTAGATACATTCCACTTTATATCAATTCGTGTTTTACGATCACTTAAATACATGAGCCAATCACAGCCTGGACGTATGCAGTTTAGGGACTACGGCTATTTGAAAGGTTTTCTTCCATAAAATTAATCGATTCTAGACTAATTTGGCTCAACATTTCCAAAACGTATAATTTTTTTGGGGAATAATCCATATAAACTATGCTATAAACAAAAAATTTGTAGGATTACTTACCGAGTATGCACCGTTCGACGACGCCATTGCTTAAGCTTGTTTTCGTCGTGGAGCGGACCATCGAACGGCGGGCGCGTGTTTTCTGGTGTTATTTTTCTGCGAAAAATTCGCTGAACTTTGGCAACATCATTAATATAAATATAATTTTTATGGCCGTTAAATAAATGGTTTTTAGTAGGTCCTCTGCTCGTTTAAACTCGACTGTTTGTGCAATATCCGTTATTGGACTAGATTCGACCAATCCTGTCGTGACACGAGTCGGTGATGACCCTTTTTACCGTATTATATGAGTCTCTTTTAGCGTGTTTATACGAATACGATCGCAATTTTTTCGCCGTTATATACGAATCCGTATTACATGAACACGTTTTGTAGGGTCTACTGTATTCACTTATTTTTTTAATTTTTTAACGAAAAGCATTACATATAAATTAGGCTGCAATATGAAAAAACTAGACCTATAAATTCCCACAGTCATTTGCTAGTCTGTTTTTCCGTCCGTTCTTAATCTCGAGAATGGTGTTAGATGTAAGTCAAGACAAGATTTTGAAAGCTTGAGTGCAGGAGGTCCCGATATATACTCGAACTTCCGATCTAGACCTGAAGTCAAGTGAATTTAAAAGATTTTTTCCTGAATGGAGGCATGACTTTTGTTATCAGGAAAGGTATGATGTAACGGGCAATACACCACAAATTTGAGATGTAAAAAACAGAGAATTTGAGATGTAAAAAAAATACACCACAAATTTGAAATGTAAAAAACATTGGGAATTATACATTTTTAAGAACATTTATGTTCTTAAAAATGTATAATTCCCAAACATTTTGTTAAATTCTAATTGTTATGCTCTATTTTTATGCAGCCATAATTTACATAATTGATAGTTTTTCGATATTTAAATAAAAGGCGGCACCAAAAGAAAAGTAACTGATACACAAGAACCTTCCAGACGTGTGCATCCAACAGACCATGAAGTGAGCAGCCCAGTAAGGAATAAACACTATAGTGGCAACTGACGGGTAGAAAGACACCAACAGCGTGCTGGTGGCTTATACAGATACCGAACAAAACACCAGAGCCACGGCCACAACACCCCTCTACCCAGAGGCTGCGATCTTTACCGCGGAGGGATATGCAATTCTTCAGGCAATCCAGAGCCGGCCCTACCATTGGGCGAACAGAGCAGCCGCTCCGGGCGCTAAGCCTTAGGGGGGCGCTCAGTGGTAAAGAAAATTAAAGGGTATAAATTAGGGGCAACCAAGGGGGGCGCCGTAATAGGATCTCGCTCCATCCTAAAACTTGCCTCGGGCCGGCACTGAGGCAATCCGACGTGTCACTGACAAAATGACAGACGTAATAATATGCACATGTGAAGCCCTGGAAATAGCCCTCCCCCAAAAAGGGAAGATATGTAAAAATTTGTTATGTTAAATCGTCAGGAAAGTAAATATATAAGTGTCGAATCGGCGACACCCGACTTTGACGTCGACGCTCATCAAAAGTTGACCGAAAAACCAAATTTTAGATGTAAAAAGAAGAAAATGTAAAATATTAAAAGTTAAGACGCAGTTTAGAAAGCAAAACGAAACTAGATAAAAAAAATGACTAGATGAGCGAAGGTGTCATAGTCAACAATTAAACGCGATCGGATTCCAAAAGATGGTGTCGGATAAACCATCTCCAGCCGACCTTTTCCACGAACTTAACGAAGCTCCATTTACACCTGGAGACAGGTGGATGGCCAATTGGAAAACGGTGATGTAAGATCTATCCAATTGACAAGGAGTCGATCGCAAAAATCCTATAAAAACGCAAAATTCAAGGACAGCGGGACTTTTCTACTTGATTTCTACTTCCACCAAGACTTCCACCTATACTTCTGTTGTATTCGTGTATCTTCATCTTTCGTGCATCGACTTTCGAGACATCGAACTTTTTTTTCTCCTCAACACTGTCCAGGGGCCCCTATGACGACGCACCGGATCATCGCCGAAATTCTCAACAACGCAAGACTAGGACCTTTGCCAACAAAAATTATGTAAGCATTATCGTCCGGAATAAACGGTTTACCTTTGTAAACACTTGTCTTTGCTGCCTTTACAAACCGCCACCCACATACGCTAAGACCTTAGACCATCCCAACGGTAGGGAATAAAAATCTCCCCCCCCAATCGGCGTTCTTACACACAGACTCGAAAGTATCCTAACGGCCCTCTACTCAAACCACGAAAAGTCTTCACCATAATACAAACCATCGTTATCCTCAATCAAAGACACGAACACAACCTACACACCATGCTCGTATGGAAACAAGGGCATCTACATTAACATGAACAAGCTGACTGTGAGATTCTGGAGGGGACAATTAGGTAATTAGATTAATTAGTTAAACTAATACGCAGTTAATGCAGAAATGGAAAAAAAACTCACTTTCTTTTTCCACCACCTGACCTTTCCAGTGACCTCTGATCCGATAGATAAGGACGATCAAATAACCGTACAAATTGACAATTTTAACGATGTTTTGAATAAATGTCTGCAAGACTTACTGAGCATGGATGATAATCCATGCTCAGTGAGTCTTGCAGATACTTTTTTAAAATTGACTGGTTGTTGAAGAAAAAAAGATATTGATCAAGATAATCAATTAGTTGGATAACAGCTTGAATTTTATATTATTAGACAATAGAGTCTACCAGCGATCAACAAATACCATCGGACGCAATTTAACAAGATTTTTGGTTCTACATAATATTATTGAATATTTTAACTTCTAATAATGTCTGTTTTAATATAACATAACTGAAATTTTAAAAAAGTAGAGGAGAAGGTGGTATTATGGAACCCCAATTACATTTTAATGAATTGTAAACAAGGTATCATAACTACACCTACATTTTTTATGCGAAAAGTAATGGTAACTATTAAACTAAATATTTCTAATTGGATTTTTCGCTAGTGTAACTATAAGTATGGTTTTTGAAGGCTTCCATACAAAAAGTCAGAAAGTAGGCTTAGAGAAAATCGGGTGGTAATATGGAACCTTACAGTATATTTTCAAAATTTGCATTAATGTAGCCAAAAACAAATAGGAAAGTACAAAAAATGTTAAATAATTACAAAATTATTTACTCCAATGTCTTTTATCGCAAAAACACTTTTATAATAGAAAAATACGACCTCCATCAACAATATATATTCCAGCAGCTCTTTTTCGATATTCTCAGGAAGAATTGACTTTCTACCTAGTGTCTTTTTCACAAATTGCTCCCGACGAATGTCTGCTTGCAAAGAGAGAGAGTTTAGTTCCATATTACTGTAAAAGCACCTGTCCCTATTTCACACATCGCCATCTCGAATTAACTTATGTCTGTCGAGACCAAAATTTAAAAAACGTGAACATCACACAGATTAATATGTACCCCTAAGTCTCTGGAACGGAATCATGCACCAGTGAACCTACAACTACACGATTTATATTTTAAAAATAATTAAATTCACTTAGCATTCAAAACTTGCGAATTTTGAAAAAAAAAAAAAAAAGATTTGTTGATTAAATACGGACAACCGTTTAACTGAAGTAAAACGGGTTTTCCCTTACTATGGATGTCTGCCTAGTTCAGTTCAGCCACAATCCGCTACAGTTCTCCTTTATTATCAGTTCGAAATGGGGTGGTTCCATAATACCCGCAGTGTTCCATAATATCATCTTTTCCTCTATATTTTAAATAGTTTATATTCTGAGAGATAGGAGTATCTTGAAAACAATGTACATTTCTCAGGAAAACCACGAAGAACACTTTTAAAGATATCTCGTTATTTACTTTAGAAATGTTTAAACGTTTCAATTTCCTATTTTAAATAGAAATTAATGTTGCAACGAATAGTATATTCGGCCGAATACCGAATATTCGGCCAGGAGCGTGGCCGAATAGCCGAATATTCGGCCAAACTATTCGGCTCGATTAACGCATGTACGAAAATTGGCGCGAAAACCTCATTATGGCAAGGACCCGCTCTCTATTGGCCCGCTGTCACTACGCTTCGCCAATCGCGTTAATTCTTGACAGTTGTAGCGGACAGACAAGAGCGTCATGACAGTATGCGATAAATGATGATATCAAATGTGAATAACAATGAAATGACCTACACGTATAAATAACGGAAAAAGAACAGAGAAGGACCGCGAAGTGAAAATGTGAAAATAAATATGAAATTGAGTTGATAACATAATGGAACAAGTCGAAGTAGCTTATTGGAGCGAAATTTGCGGCCGTCTATGCCAAACAATTGTTGTCATAGACTTCGGAAAGCTAAATGCTTGTAATGAAAGTCACTTAGTGTGCACGGGCGAAAGCCTGGGACCGAGCTGTCTCGAATCTTTGAAATCATAACTGTGACTTATATCGACGTCCTATCTGTCTCTTTTCTCCGTTATCACCAGGCTATGAGTCACGTAATTATAAAATGGAAAAACTACGACGGAAAAGTGACGAATCGAAAGTATCGTGAGCGTGTATTATGATTTATGCATAGGCATATGTGGACTGCCCACCAGTGGCCGAGTGGTCTTAGTACCCTGAACACTGGGAGTTCGGTCGTGGGTTCGCGCCGCGATCGGACAGGCTGGCTGCTTGAAGTTTTCCGGGTTTTCTCCTTTCCGATAACGACTAAATAGGAGGCCACTTCCCCATAAAAGTCCTCCCGGAAGGCATTCTTTCCCCTCGCGTAACATCGCGCCCCAGAGCAGGCAACGTGAAACTACTCTGGGTATTAACTTTGCCTAGTAACACCTTGGCGCGTTACTAACTACTTACTAACCTACGCCAGGTGTCGCCGACGTCAGGAATCTGATATGGCACCAAGAGGAAGGAAAGAGAAAGGAAATAGCAAAGACGAGCGCTTAAAAAGAGTAGGCAGAGTCAGACCCTCACATGTGTGCGACGATTCTCGAACGAATAGGTGTGTGTTGATCTTTGTAATTATAAATTGTGAATACATGTGACTAATATTAATATTTTTTTTATTTTGTGCATGTTATAAGTTATAAATAAATTTAAGCAAACAACACTAACCCGATAACATTAAATCTAAATACCAAAATGATTAATTTACTGTGTTTTTGTTATTTCTTACTCCTGTTTTTAGGTATTCGGTATTCGGCCGAATAGTGATTAAATATTCGGTGTTCGGCCGAATAGCGAAAAATAGGCCGAATAGGCCGAATACCGAATAGTTGCCGAATATTCATTACATCACTAATAGAAATATTTACGTTTCTTCATTCATTTGCTTTCAGGAAAGTAATGATGACAAATAAAATGTTATAATTACTGATCTGATCTTACTAAATATATCATTTGTTACTTCCGTATACTGCTCCAAAATATAAACTTTACTAAATATATATAGTATATATTAATATATGTCATTCATATATTGTTATATGCCTTCTCTCAAGAGAAATAATATAATGCTATAAGTAGGCAGGTGCTACAGGTGCACAGATACAGGGTTCAGGATGAAGGAGGCCTCTGAAATGGAGCATTAAAAAATTATCAGTATTATGTTTTCATTTTCAAATTTCAAATTTTTCCGCCGTAAGCGCCAATTCCGTTTTGTTAAAATTAAAAAATAACCGACCATTTCTATCGTATTTTTTAATATATTTTTTCCAAAACAAAGGTGAAACAACAAAAAAATTATTGCACAGGATATATGAAAAGCTAGTTACGGCACTGTTTGCATATATATGCATGTTATATATTTATATTATTGACTTCATTAAAATTTTAAGAAACGTAGTTAGATTTATCTTTGTTCGAGACAAGCTTCTGAGTTGTGTCATTTATTGTATGATATCGTTATTCATTTAGTATTTTTCTGTTGTGCAGAACAGAAAAAAAAAACATATCACCAAAGGACAGCAAACAGGAATGGCATTCATTTTGAGTTTTACAGTCGATATTAATCTTATTATTTAACAATAAAATCTGTGATAATGAAGTAGTTATTCTGACAAAATAATCGATTCATTATTGCAATCATCAAAACAATAAATAATAATGGACAGAAGTTATTATCTTGGTCTGGAGTTTCAGAATATTTGGAGAGATGTTGTTAGAAGAGAAAAATGGAATAGATTAGTATGGCAAATGCGATATGCTCCTTATTTTTCCAATATCTCGTATGGATTCGTGAAACAACCCGAAAATAATTACCGGTCGGATTTTCTATACGAAAGCGAACTTAATCACTTACCAGTCGATGAATCTGATAATAATTCTGAAACTATCCCGATCTACCAGGCTAAATGCAGCGTACCGTTAAAACCAGATGCAAAATGGTACGAAATTGCACCATCCGCAGATCAAAGATGGACAAACATCTGTCCTCAATACAAAGCTATAAAAATTCGACCTGAAGAATTGACATTTAATCCGACTACAGGTTAGTTTTGTTTAAAACTATATAATTACACAGATTTACTGTACTGTATATTGCAATGGTGGGCAAGCAAGAGTTCAGTGAGAGCCGAAATGTAAATTTTGCAAAATGCACGGGAGCCACAGTTCTGTACTTTTTTATTCTGAACCGCGATTTTATTATATAATATAAATATAATATAAAACAAATATTGAATTTTTTTAATAAACATATTTTCACAAAATTGTGGAAATAAAATTGTAAAAATAATAATAAAAAGCAGAAATTAACACTTTCAGCAAGAGCCACATGTAACTCAAAAAGAGCCGCATTTGCCCATGTCTGGTATATTGTTACCGGGTTTATAAGGTCGTGTGTTCTTTGCCACTTCAATATTTTTGAGTAATGGATGCGTATCGTCTTTCAATCATGTATATTTTCGAACATTTCGAAGATATATATGATTGGTAGAAACATTTCGAATTATTCCTTATGTATATTATAAATACGAAAAAAATTTCAACTTTCAAAAATAAAACCTTGTGTAACTGTATAAATGTATGACATCACAAATTCAGTCCAAGTTCTCATCTCATCTCGATAGAGGAGTGTTGTATCTCCCGCATTTCACTCCGGAAGAACAGAGGGGAAGATCGCTCAGCGACCGAAGAGGCGGCCTTATCGAAGACGACCAGTCCGAGAAGGGGGAAAGAGTGCCTTCCGGGAAGACTTGGAGGGGAAGCTGGCCCCTAATCAGGAGTCATTGGCGAGGAGGAAAACCCAGAAAAAACTCCCGCTGCCAGCTCGTCCGAGTGAGGCGCGAGTGAACCCCCGATCGAACTCCGGTGTTTAGGGTCTGGTCACTGCCATTAAGAGCGGAGACGGAGCAGTCCAAGTTTCCTACTTTAAACCTGGTTAAATTTTGATTTTAAGTTCATACTTGAAAGCCGGTTATGTAATAGAGAAAAACTTTTTAGTAAATTATATTAAACAGATTTATCACCTTCATTTTTTCTTGATTTTTATTTAAAAGTAATATTAAATCATTTAAATCTAATATACTGAAATGGAATTTTTGCTCTATTATAATTAACAAACTTTAAAGTAAAACTAAAAGTTAACCATATTTAAAGTAGGAGCTTCGGCGGCATTGTGACGTCAAATATTGAGTGTTCTATCCTTGAGATGACGATGACCACGCTATAAATCAGTATACAGCGGTTCAAACTAATTTCAGCCAGCATATTCTAGACCGTCTTGGCCAGTGGGTCAGCTTTTTCCTAAAACACTGTACGATAGGGTAGATGGAAATGAGTCCTGCCAAGATGGCTTAAGCATTTATCATAAGGACTCCGAATCGAATTCTTAAAGTTTTCATTGGTTTTCCGATCTGACCACTATCCTTTACCCTGTCGCTCCATTACAGCCTGGTCGAGCTCACGATGGACGTGTAATCCTCTTCGTTTTTACAAAGTCGAAAAAAAGAAAAAGGAGAGAATCCCCACAGCGACAGCCAGCCAAATCACTAGACAAGAATAGATTCCTTTTCAAGTCCCGTATAGGAGTTTTTTAAGCTTTCTGAAGCCGATTTGTAAGATAGTACAGTATATTTGCGGAGTCTAATATAAGAAAGTTATTTATTATTTCTTCAAACAATTTATTTGCGGTGCCATGGGATTGCTCCCAGTCAGAAATCAAAATTAATGCATTTTTTTTAAAAAAAATCGAGATACGCCTAATGACGCGAGCGGAAATATGACACATACTTTATTGCAGTGGATTTGGGATGAGAGATGACTTAATTTTGTCTCAACCTTTGTTTTTTTAGAGTTACCTGTATAGGTATGGATGTCTCTAACAATACAATTCTACAACTGTCCAAAGTTGGAACTTTTGTTGTCGTTGTACAAGTAAGTTTTCTCCGGGCTTCAATGATTCCGGAGGAAATTCGTTTCGGACTGGAGTCTCGTAGGATTCTATGAGACTCCAGTATGCCTAGGCCAACGGACAATATAATGGCTCGGCTCGATGAAACCGCACTGGACAGGGATCCTTGTTCTTGAGACACGAATTTTTAATGTGTTGCGTTCCTCGATCCGACATCATGATTGGTTTCAAATTTTCTCTCTCGCGATCCGATGGTCCCCATCTGTCTCCGAGTGAAAATTGAAACGCCTTTTGTTCAGATTGCGAGAAAGGTCGATGTCGATGAGAATTTGACATTGACTTCGATCCCAAGTGAAGACGCTTACCTGATTTTAGGATCCTTACTGTTAAAATCTGCCGGTGTGTATATTTCTCAACGAGACGAAATGTCGTCCGTAAATTTTCTGGCAGGAATGCTAGTCCTACAAAATGATTAAAGTCTCTTTGTGATGATCGCGAAAAAATGTAAACAATTTTAAAAAAAATCCATCAATGAGTTTCACAACTTTCCCGGCTGTTAAGATATTTTATTTAAAAAACAACTTTTATATTAGATATTAATCATAATAATAATAATGAATAAATTGTGTATGGCACCACCTGTTATGAGATTTTATCAAAAAATTTTTTATATTATCAACTATTATGACTTGGCAAAACGCTTAATAATTTTAAGGGTAGCGATGACTTATAAAAGTTTTTGAATGCTAATAACGAGTAAAATCGTCATTAAGTTCGATCACTCTTGAGATACGACACATGATGCCCTCTATCTTTTCACTCCATTAATCTTTAACCGCCAAAATTTAATAGCATCAATATTCTTTATATACTTAGACAAATTTCGCTTCTTAATCACTACCCCATTCTGAAATATTAAATGAAGTAGATGCTAAAGCATACTCTGAATTATTTTCCTTTTTTTTTTTTACTTTTTTGGGTTTAGGAGGTCTTAAAACGTGGATATTAAAAAAAATCGGAGGGTCAAATTTGACACGATTTCAATACTTTCCATTATTAGGAAAGAAATTATTTTACAAGTTAATTAAGAGTGTTAACGTGAGTGCCTAGATATTTTTACAATTTAGAGCATCACACATTACACTTGAAAAGATTGGATAGGTTTCAAATATTTTCCCAATTGTAAATACAAAGCATCTTGATTTAAAAAATAAAATGAAAAGTATTCTACAAAAGTTCAAGAAGTTAGGACGCAAGACAAGTCTAAAACTTTATTTCTTGCATCTTATTTGCTGCTAATTTAAGTGCAGCTCACCAGTGGTCGAATAAATAGAATTACTGGGTTTAATAGTTGGACGTTTGTCACGAAGAGTTTTCTGGGTTTTCTTTATCTGTTTGACATCTAGCTAGATAGGGCTAGTTTCTGCCAGAAACTTCTTTCGGGAGACAAATAGAAAATGTAAGTTTGGTTTGGTTTGTTTTGATGGGATATGGCAACGCAACACATAAACATATCGCTAATGTGTTGCGTTGCATATCCCATCAAAACAAACCAAACCAAACTTACATTTTCTATTTTTCTTTTCCATTTTCTTTTTACTTTCGCTACCTTCAAGAACAAATACGTAATTTTTTTAATTAAACGCCTCGCGGTCAGTTGGCCGATAGCTTATGCAGGAAATATATTTATTGCTCTGGGGGACCGAAATCAAATCTGGACGGTCGAAAAATCTCAGGAATTTTTCTAGATAGTCCATTCGGTTATGTCAGACCATGTCCCTCACCAGTCGGAGTAGCCGAGTGGTGAGGGACATGGGACACTGGGGACCTGGCCGAACTCATAATGGGTTTGCTAAAAAAACCATTTTCGTGTCCTCGTGGCAGAAAAATTTTTAAGTCTTCACTAATTGAAAACATTTTGTTATTAAAAGGCTTCACATAAAAAGAATTTGTTCTGTGACTATAGATTTTACTAACTGACGCTGAACGCAATTACATTTTTTTCTAAAAATTTCCAAAGTTTTATTAAAATTCATTCAAATCATTGTATATAGTTTGTTTATTCATAACTATATAATAGAACAAGGGTGGGCAACCTTTTTTATAACATGGGCCAGAATAAATTTTACGTTTTTTCCGTGGGCCATAGTAGTTAATTGACACCTTGTGACCTGTAAATTTTTAGTCTGCAAATATGAAATAAATAAATAAATAAATAAAAAGAAATTAATTACTACAGTCGACCCCCCTATAACACTGTTGATTATTCCGTTTTATATGAATTCCATGTTGTATGAGTCACTTAGATTTTACAAATGCGTGTGCCGGGCTGTGAACGGCTCACCTATTTGTAAAATCTAAGTGACTTTAAACACAATAAAAACAGCACTATGTAGTTGGATACGACAGACATTACATTTTCTAATTGCATAGCTTTTGCACATAGATTTTCTTGATGGATGATGCGATGAGATATAAATAATTTAGAAAAATTCTGTTCTCCCATTTTTTGTTTGAATAAGGAAATGACTCCCTTATTTTTTCCTGTCATTGCTGCCACAACACTTCAGAAAATAATATTCAATTTAAACTAGACGAATTACATCGAAAAATATTTATTTATAATTTCTTCTAAACATCTCGCGGGCCGGATAGAAACTTTTCGCGGGCCGTAGCTGGCCCGCGGGCCGGGGGTTGCCCACCGTTGTAATAGAATATACCGAACTGTTTTAAATATATTTTTGCATTTATCTTAGAATTTTATTTATATTTTGTTAATCAAGATAAAACTTACTTAAAGCTACTTTTAGATATTTCGTATATATAAAAGATCTAAAAGCAACATCAACCAAAAATTTATTATGCTGAACGCGAAATGTTATTAAATTTCAATTTTATTTTCTTTAAAATAGTAAAATTATTATTGTTATTAAAGTCAAAGCAAAATTTCCTTATAATTTTAAAAATTTGTTTTATATTTCCTTTGAATAATTATGGATTATCTTATTACTTTTTCTGTTTTTTTTGTTTTTTTATTTTAAAAATACAGTATTTAGAAATATGACAAAATATTTATGTGTTTTATTTACTGTAACTATTTAACTATACACTGTAAATAATTGTATTTACAGTATATA